TTCATTCAACTATTTTATAAAATCTTTAAATATCTGACAGAAAGGGTTAAACCACGTGATTGTCATCACTTGACAACTGATCCGATATTGACAGCAAATGTGGCAATCATTGGACCAATTGGTGGCTGAATATCTCAAGAATTCAAATCACTGCTCATATGTCTCACAAAAACACATGTCTTTTGCCATCATTTGATAAAACACTGAAAATTCATATCAAATTCAACTGATTTTAAGGGCAATTAAGACAAACTTTTGGACAAACTTTTAGACAAACTTTAAAACTCGTAAAATAGATATAAAATTAAATTAAAATCAATTCAATTAATCGTATCATTGATTGATTGCATCATTCAATGGACAGTAGACTTACAATTGGATAGAAAATAATTTTTTGGGAAATATGTATGAAATAAATGACTATTTATTAAAACTAATGGTTTGTATAACCAATAAATAATTGAAAATAATTTAAATGTGAACTCAATTTAAATGAATTTATGAATGAAATGCGATTCACATTCACTGAAACAGTCAATGCAATGCTATGAGTGGTAAAGTTGTGGACAAAACTATATACTCACCGATTAGGCGCTCATATAACTGTTCATCAAATGGTTGTCTCTCTCTTATGAACTCATTATTCACACGACAAGTGAGTCTCGTTTGACATAAAAGTATTTTGAATACAATGAGTGAAATGAATGTCTAATTACAGGACTTATTGACAATTAATGACACAATTAATGAGTGGAAATAGTTTTGTCCACAACTTTACAAAAGGCGGCCTTTCATTGACGCAATCATGACCTCAATGGCCGCATTGAAGCCCTTGTTGTGCACTCAACTCAATGGGTTTTGTGCGACAAAAAGGACCAAAAGTTTTCGAAATCTATAGGAAACGAAAATTTCTCCAATAATACAGTAAAACATGTTTAATATTACGTCTCATCAGAAATACTTATAAATTAGAATTGTATTCAAATAATAAATTTGCATTGATCAAGAATTCATAAATGAATTTATTATAGAGAATAACCTTGGTCAAAGTGATTTGGTGTGCATATGACTGAAATGTAATACATGTGTGTATTGAGTGAATGCAGAAACCGCTCTAAAATGTGACTCTAATTGCGGTAATAGTTGTGGAAATAAATGACGTCATTATAGTTGCATTCGAACGCAGTATTGAGTCATAGAGTGAGGGATGCATTGAAAGGACATAATTGACATAATTTATGGCAAAGCATTGAATCATAGGTTTTGTATTCATTGACCACTCATTGAGTGATTGAATACCCATTGAAACGATTAGTTATAAAAGCGTTTGCGACGAAATCATCTCAAATCTAGCGTTCAATCGATTGGTTGTCAAGTGAATCAGTGATCGGATCCGTTGGTGATGTCTGGCATAGCATTGGGACGTCTGGCGGAGGAGAGGAAGTCGTGGCGGAAGGACCACCCGTTCGGGTTCATCGCAAAGCCCACCAAAAACCCGGACGAGAGTCTGAATCTGATGTATGATTGAGAGCGCTTGTGATGACTGTCTCATGTCTTGAGCACTTGTGATGTATTCCTCAGGAACTGGGAGTGTGCCATACCTGGCAAGAAGGGCACGCACTGGGAGGGAGGCCTCTATAAGCTGCGGATGATCTTCAAAGACGACTACCCGTCCAGTCCTCCGAAGTGTAAGTTTGAACCGCCGCTCTTCCACCCAAACGTATGCCACTCTCTGTCCGACACTATGTCTGGAGGTCTGACATGTCTGTCCCTTTAGGTGTATCCGTCGGGAACGGTGTGTCTGTCGCTGTTGGACGAGGAGAAGGACTGGCGTCCGGCCATAACCATCAAACAGATTCTGGTGGGCATTCAGGACCTGTTGAATGAGCCCAACATCAAAGACCCGGCTCAGGCCGAGGCCTATACTATCTATTGCCAGAATCGGTCCGAATATGACAAGCGAGTCAAGGCTCAGGCGAAGGCTATGGCCTCTCAAGACTGACCATTCATTTGGTTCATTGCACTCTATTTAAGTCCGAATCACTCTTTGATTTCATTTCCATTTAATCCGAAAATGTCTTCATTTTTATGTCTTTTGTTACAATAATTGCCTTTTTTAATGAAAAACTCATTGATATCTCGATTAAAAATTAAATTTAATTTGTATTTCATGTGTAAATGAATTAATATTTTAACATTTCATTCAATGGTTACTAAGTTGTGAGTGAATTGGGATCAGTTGATGGACTCATGCGGTGATTGAAGACAACAGTTGATTGAATTTACGGTCAATTGTGAGGTCTGTATGGTATGAATGGACAACAGATGGCGTCCAACGAGTTGTGAGACAAACAAAAGTGACTTTAATTTTGTGATCATTTGATTGAAAAGTTTTGTTGATTTACATCGAAATGAGTGTCGATTTGATTGGTGTGACGGCTATGGGAGGACTTCCGCTGTTTGTGAGACAGTCGACACTGTCGACGGCCAGCGGGTCCAGCGGTGGGGCCAACGGTTCCGGTGATAACGAGCTGTCATTCGCGCGAATGGCGGCTCTGAATGGCGTAAACCTCTTCTCCCGACTCAATGACTGCAACCTCTTGTTCTGCTCCACGAAAGACACACAAATCCGATGGAAAGTCTTCAAGGGATGTCTGGTCCTCATTGTCATTGTCGACAACATTGCGGACATCAATCAAAACCATTTGCTTATGTTATTGGATCTCATATTCGACTCTTTGGTTTTGATTTGTGGCTTAAATGAGATCATGAGTCAAAACATCGAAAGGCTTAAGAGGTGTCTTCGGCACTCATTCCAGTTCATCGATTACCTCTTAAGCAGTTTTATATCCAATCCATTCATGAGGATCCCTTTCATCACCAATTCCATCGAGTATTCAATGAGTGGTCAAAGTTATCAACAATTCATGCAATCACTGGTCGAAAGCGGCGGACAATTGTCTTCGAGTGCCTTCTGCTGGCTCTTCATCAACAAGAAACTAATAGCTGGAAGTAATGGGTTCTGGAGTCGACTCCACACATCCCAAGACGCCCTCCTCATCACTCAATTAGTGAACTCCATGTCTGACACGGATTTGTTGCAAACCAAAGAGATAGCCGTCTATTTGCCCCACAATTGTCCCAACAGTTTGTCCCGTCTTATCGTCTCTCAGATATCCAAAGGAGTGGTTCTGTGTCTGCTGTGTGCCGAAGAGCCCACCGTTGACTTCATTGACGCCGAAATCATTGTCCCATTAATTGACTCTAAAATACATTTCGAAAAGTTCTCGAAATATTTGCGAAACGAAATCCAGACATCACTAGCAGTTGATCCCAATATAATCGCGTTTATTATATTTAGAAAAGACTTGAAAGTCTTCACCACTTTTGGTCAAATGGATGACAAAATGAATTCTTTGATTGAATCCATCGATTTGCAAAACAACGATAAATACGAGTCTTATTCAGTGAAAGAAAGCCACAAATGCTATCATATTTGCAATGAATTATCGCTAATATATGTGTTGTTTCGCTTCAATACATCACTAAATCAAATGCATTTAATTTCTCACAAAACCCTTCAAACAATACTCAAAGACAAACACATTTGGCCTCAAATTTAACTCATTTTCTATACATTCACTGATTCTTATCCATCAATTAAGCAACAATTGTGAGCTTTATATTGAAGTGCTTTTATGTGATCCAACGTGTGATTGAATTCAAAGTAACTTTTTATATAAGATCTGA